GGAGTGCTATATGCATTACCCTATGTACCTCCCCGGATGTTGACAGACCCCATACGAGGCCGGGTTCGTCCCGTCGTATGAGGGGAGATTGTGTTGAGGTCGCACGTGTCGTAGGAGTAGCCGGCGTGTTAACAGACCCCATATGAGGCTGGGTGCGTCCCGTCATATGAGGGGAGATTGTGTTGAGGTCGCACGTGTTGTAGGAGTAGCCAGCGTGTTGACAGACCCCATACGAGGCCGGGTGCGTCCCGTCGTATGAGGGGAGATTGTGTTGAGGTCGCACGTGTCGTAGGAGTAGCCGGCGTGTTGACAGACTCCATACGTGGCTGGGTACGTCCCGACGTATGAGGGAAGATATGATTGTGTGCGGGCTGGTGAGAATGTAGCTAGGCCCATAGCAGACAGTTAGATGGCTGGTGAGAATGTAGACAGGCCCATAGCGGACAGTTAGATGGTTGGTGAGAATGTAGTCAGGCCCAAAGCAGACAATGAGACATGATGATGAGGTCTCACGTATCGTAGGATTATTTCCGGCGTGCGAACGGGCCCCATACGCGACTTTGGATGTTCCGGCGTATGGGGAGATTATGTGAGCTTTTAGGAGATAAATTAAGGTTTGTGATTGGTGAGTTGTGATCCCTTAGTAGCGGGTGTTAGTGAAAGAGCTACGTGTGGCTTGATCCCTTAGTAGGGTACGTAGGCAGCCTGGGATAGCGCCTAGGTGCAGCCACGGCCTAGACACCACTTAGGTGGTTTTATTAAGTATGATGCGGACCTCGTGGTTGGTCCCGAGACTTGGTTGGATCGAGGCTCGTTCGTTGGGCTAAGTGAGTATGATTGTGGTTCGGTTAGGTTTGAGATCCTGGTTGGATTGTTGAACGGTTTAGACTGAGGCCCCAAACTAATTGTGATAGTGATAGGAGGTTAAAACCTCGCGTGTTGGTTGTTGGATGATTAGATAGTTGTTCGCTCTTCCTTTTGACTACGGGAGGGTGGTGTTAGTGTGTTGTGATTGGATTAGGGCAAGACCCGTTTGGGATAGCTGTATGCTTTGGGTTAGGACCCTAAACTTTTTATGTTTGTAGCTTGCTTTGGATTATCAGAAGGCCAGAGGCCATTTATGTGAATTGCTGGAAAATATATTGTGTGTGCTGCCTGTTGGTATATAAAATGTGTTTCATGCGAGTGGAAACTTTGGGGAATGTTCAATTTACAGGGGAGATTCTGCTGAAATTTCGGTAGAAAGTCTCGTGCTCTTAATCCTCTTTGGTAAAAGAGGACATAGTTTTAAGAAGTGAACCCGACATGGGTGTGATGCCAAGGTCTCCGCAGGATTCATCCTGGGTTTCGGGAAATTCGGGGCGAGTCCTGTCACTTTGTTTGTTGACAGACTGGCACGAGAGTCCAAATTGTGTACCTTAGACTACTTAGAGACCTTGATAGTGTTGCTGGTTATTCATGGGGTTATGAGTGCTTAGCATGGTTGTATAAACAATTAAGCCAAGCTTCGAAGTCTGAGATGAAGCAGATTGCTGGGTACATGACTTTGCTGGAAGCATAGGTGTATGAGCACATGCATGGTGTTGTTATCCCTGATCATGAGCTTGATTATTTAGAGGTCCAGCCTCATGCACTTCGTTGGATTCCACGTCGAGACAATGACATAACATTGATAGACGTGTAGAAGTATAGACAACGGCTTGACACTTTAAATGTTGATCAGGTGTGTTTCTCTTACATATCATCCAACTTTGTTGTGTTTTATATTTTTTATTTATTTATTTTTTGTTTAGTAATGTATTTTACAGTAGTTCATGTTATATTGTGTATCATATTTCTAAGTAATGCATCTCTACTATTGAATATCTACACATAAAACTCATATTATTAAAAGATAAAATTTGAAACATTAATGCCACGTTAATGATACTAAAAAGGATTTCAAACAAAAAAAAACACTTAAACTAATTACCGAATTAGTTGTGAATTGATCACTATAGTCCATTACACATTTTGTTCTTACATTATTTCCTTCAGTAGGGGCGTCACCTTGTTTTTGTTCCTTCAATGGGAGTAAGATAAAAATAGCTTGCATTAAATTTGTGGTCGACAATAAACTACGGAAAAAATAAATAAATTTCGGTTCGTTGCTACTGAAACATAGGTAAAATTTCGGTAATAAACCACTGAACAACGTTCCATGTTACGGTGGATCTCTACTGCATATTAAGTTCATGACTGGTCAAACACAACCGAAATAGGGAGGGAATGAGAGTTTAAATAGTTGGAGAGCTTTCACTGTCCAACAGTTGTTGGAGGGAGACAAAAAGGGGTTCTAGAACAAAAAGAGATAGTCAGGTAACTCACTTAGCATATTTGTTTAGTTTATCTCTTTCGGGTTAAACCATCTCTATCAATTAATGTGACAGGTTTTGGAAAAGCTGTGCCCAATAATTGATCAAGATATGAAATATTTTGATCCATAAAGAGAGAAGCTGAGTAAAGAAGTGAAGAAAAGATGAGAGAAGATTTTTGTTGTATGTGAGGCAAGTTGAAAATGTTGAAATCGGGAGAGAATGAGAGTTTAAATAGATGAAGAGATTTCACTATTCAACAGTTGTCGGAGGGAGACAAAAAAGAGTTCTAGAACAAAAGGAGATAGACAGATAACTCACTTATTTGTTTAGTTTTCCTCTTTCGGGTTAGACTGCCTATATCAATTAATGTGACAACTTCGAGAAAAAAAGTGCCCAATTATTGATCAAGATATGAAATATTTTGATTCATAGAGGGTGAAGTTGAGTAAAAAAGTGAAGAAAAGATGAGAGAAGGTTTTTGTTGTATGTGAGGTAAGTTGAAAGTGTTGAAATCGGAAGGGAGTGATAGTTTAAATAGATGGAGAGATTTCACTGTCCAACAATTGTTGGAGGGACACAAAAAAGGGTTCTATAACAAAAAGTGATAGTCTGGTAACTCACTTAACATATTTGTTTAGTTTTCCTATTTCGTGTTAGACCGCCTCTATCAATTAATGTGATAGGTTTTAGAAAAACAGTGCCCAATTTAAGTTATGATTTCAAGACAAATTGGTTTGTATTAGGGCTGGGCATTTGGACCCGAAACCCGCCCAAACCGCCCAAACCAAACTAATGGGTTGGGTTGGTTTGGTTTTTTTTCAATCTTTTTTTTGTCATCGGTTTGAACCCAAACCAAACCGAAATATATGGTTCAGTGTACGATTTGCAATATTCAAAACCACGGTGTAACCAAACCAAACCGAAGATATTAAAAATTATTATAAGAAATATATGTATATATAGATATATAATACATAGTTTCAATCTTTTCTTTTTCCTCTCTCTCAATCTCTCCGTTTGTCTTATCTTCATCAGTCTCTCTCTCTCTATTTTTTTTCTTCTCATTCTTCTTATATTTGTCTTCACTCCCTCTCCCCATCTCCCTATTCTTCTTTTTTCATTCTTCTTCTTCTTATTCTCTCTCTTTTCTTTTTCTCATCTTCTTCTTCTCCATCTCTCCCTCTCTTTTTTCTTCTTCTCCTCTCTTTCTTCTCTCTCTCTCTCTCTGTCTCTCTCTCTCTCTCTCTCTCTGTCTCTCTCTCTCTCTCTGTCTCTCTCTCTCTCTATAAGAGCCAAAAAACCGAAACTGAACCAAACCAAACCACCAAGTCCGGTTAACCGAAGTGGTCGGTTTTCATCAATTATGGTTTGGTTTCGGTTTTCAAAATAGCCAAACTGAAGCATACAATTCGGTGTCGGGTTGAGCCCAAAATCGAACCAACCCAAACCGAGCCCAGCCCTAGTTTGTATTATTAATTATATTATGTGAAAACTTATTATATTTATGTTGTGATTGTTGGACACTTAGTGTTGATTGTTGGAGGCTTAGAAGAGAACGGGAAGTGAGACTCCCCTACAGGAGTCGAACGATAGTTCATAAGATGGAAAGAAAATTAGACAAATAGGTCGGACAGGCGAGCGAAGCGAGTTGCTGGCTGACGTCCCAAGGAGTCTCTGTTCATCTTTGTTCAAGGCAGGACGCATTTGACCGAGTGGAGACAACTGTGGAAGCAGCAATCCCTTGCCTCATGAAAGAGAGAAGCTTTACGTAAGTAGGGCCTCACCTCTAGGGGGAATTTCTGACAAATTATATGTTCGACTTGTATACAACAAATCCAGCCTATTTCCTCAACTTCGTCGACCATTGGAACTCCTTTGTTAAAAAACAAGAAGCATTTTGGGTCACATTTCTTACTTGAGTCCCCTATGGCTAGTACAATGTGCTAGTAACATCTTCTATAACTCAGCTGAACTAGTTTAAAGGGTTGGATTCCCCCGGATAAGTAAATAAGTCTCTAACAAACAATACTTAGTCTTCAGCAGTAACAACATAAATATAATAAGTTTTCACAAAACATAATTAATAATACAAACAAATTTGTCTCGAAATTATAACTTAATAATAAAAACAACAATAAAATAATACAAACCAATAGTCTTGAAATCATAACTTAATAATAAAACTCAATACTAAGTTTCCAGCAATCACAACATAAATATAATAAATTTTCACATAACATAATTACTAATACAAACCAATTTGTCTCGAAATCATAACTTAATAATAAAAACAATAATAAAATATTACAAACCACTTGTCTTGCGATCATAACTTAATAATAAAACAAAGAATAATGCCTTAATCATTATAATATTTTTTCTTCGACAACACCCAACTTGACAACATCTCAGCCACAAGCATACATCTGTACAAACGAAAATAGCCTTTTTTTCAGGTTGGTAATTGTTTTCCATTTTCAATTTTGATTATTTTCGTTATTTTCTAGTGTCATGTGCGCGAGTCATTGGGGGTGTCGATGGATAATAACATGGATAACTCTTTGTAAATGGAGTTTCGAAGTCCACGAGATCGGCTTTCAAGTCTCGTTTTCCTTTTTCTTAGAGCAAAAATAAATAAAGAAGTTATTCAATTAAATCCAAGTCATCAAAAATATTCCTCTTTTCAGCCTTCATACAAGCATGCAACATTTGAAGCATAGAGTGTATATTTCCATCATGAGCTGGTGAATGATCTCCAGCAACAAATCTATATGCCTTGTGACCAACATGCACTAAACTGTAGCCAGCCACAACCCTAACCCCTCTTTCCTTCAACAAGCTTCTCATACTAGCAGCATCAACCCACAACCCGCTTGCTGCATAAATACTTGATGCCAGTAAATACCCAGCTGAGTTTCCAGGCTCCAACTCAAGGACATGAGAGGCAGCTTCTAGACCAACTTCGCTGTTCCTACAGCTTCTACAAGCACTCAATAGTGCACCCCAAGCATTGCTTGCCCGGGCAGCCACCTTCAAATCTTGCGGAAATCTTTTGATAAACTCCATTGCCATTACAAGCTTCCCCGCTCGACCCAACATGTCAACTACGCAAGTGTAATGTTCCAATCTTGGTTCAACTCCATGATCCTGAGCCATTGAGTTGAACAAGGAAACACCCTCTTCAACCAAGCCTCCATGGCTACAGGCAGATAGCACAGAAAGAATGGTCACTGCATTGGGCTTCAAACCATACAGCTTCATTTCTGCAAGCAAAGCTAAGGCTTCATGGCCAAGACCGTTCATTCCATATGCCGCTATCATGGCACTCCATGACATGGTGTTTTTTTCAAGAATTTGTTCAAAGGCCTTTCTTGATTCTTCTATTGCCCCACATTTCGAGTACATGTCAACAATTGCAGTGCCAACGGCTACTTCTGCTGACAAACCTGTTCTAATAGCAATTCCATGCGCCCATTTTGACCTCTTCAATTCAGCTGAAGCTGAACAAGCCTCGAAAAGATTTATAATGGTGATCTCATTGGGCTTCTGGTCTTGTGCCTGCAACTGCATCATCTCATGGAAGACGGCAATTGCTTCCTCAGGTCTACCACAACTGGCAAACCCTGAAATCATGGTGCTCCATGAAACCACATCTCTTTTCTTCACCCCATTAAAAAGTTTCCAGGCAAGGTCAACATCATTGCACTTTGCATAAGTATCAATGAGAGAATTCAGGAGTAATTCATTTGATACGTATCCCCGCCTGATTGTTACACAGTGCACGGACTTGCAATGAAACATGCACAAATGCTTGGATGTTTGAAGAACATTCACAAGTGTCACTTCATCTGCCTCAATTCCTTCCTTTCCCATAGAATAAAACAGTGTTAGGGCATCCGAATGCCTCTCATTAAAGACAAATCCCGTCAAAATGGAATTCCATGAGACTCTATTTCTTCGTGGCATCGCGTCAAAAACTTTAAAGGCAGAATCTGCATCCTGACACTTGGAATACATATCAATTAAAGAATTTCCAACAAACATATCACAATCTAAACCTCTATAGATTACCAACCCATGGACCGATGTTCCCATGGTCAAGTCCTTCAAATGAGTGCATGCTTTAAGAATACTGACCATACATAAACCATCTGGCTCAATACCACGCTCATATACCATCTTTTGGAACATCAGCATCCCAATCTGAGCTTCCTCACAATGCACAAAACCACCAATCACCACACTCCAAGAGATGACATCTTTGTCACGCATTTCATCAAACAATTTCTGCGCACTGTCCATGTCAGCTTCTTCTGCATACAGACTCAACAAAGAGTTTTGAACTGAAGATACAGAACAAAACCCCCCTCGAATCACGTAACCATGTACTATCAGACCCTCAAACTTATCTCGAAGGCGACGGCAAGCTTGAATTACAAGCACCAAAGTAGAAGTATTGGGTTGAAACCCATCAGCACAAACCCTAGCCTTGTTAAACCACCACAACCCTTGTACTAAATCACCCCCATCAAGGTACCCATAAGCCAATATATTCCAAGAAACTCCATCTCTGCTCCTCATACAGTTAAAAACACCCAATGCAGAATCTAGGTCCCCTGTTTTGATGTAAAAGTCCATGGTGGAATTACCAATGGAAGTGTAGAATTCAAATCCATTCTTGATCAAACATCCATGTACTGACTTTCCATAGGTATGAGAGAGAAGATTTGAACATGCTTTGAGAATAGGAGGGAAGGCTGAAGGGTCTGCTAGTTGAAGTCCAGCTTTCTTGATTTCATGGTAGTGGCAGAGCAGTTCTTGCCATTTTCCATTAGATGATAACTCTTTGAGCCTCGAATTGCAATTAGAAACACCCAAGCGAAAGCTTCGGAAACGCATTTCCAATATGCCGCACATATGCATATGCTTATTAGCATGGACTCTTATTGTAAATTGTAATAAAGTTTGATATTTGTAGAGTTCGAGTATAGTATTAATAAATAAATACACGTATTATAACATAAATGAATTAATAACATCCGTGGCAGTCGCAGGGAAGAATTTCTCATTAATTGACAAGTGTTTTTGAGCAAAATACACACACTCCTCTGAGTAAAAAATTCAGTCCAATTCTTTTTCTCATAAAGGTTTTCGGCAATTTTTCCGAATTGTAACTTGGGAGAAGTTTTTTGCAGAAACGTCCTGTTCTCTTTCTGGACGCATAACATCATCTCTGATAGAAATAAAGAATTTTGAATTTCCATTTCTTCTTTGGACAACAAATTTTACAAGAGCATGTGTGTTTGAAGGGGGAGGGGGTGTTTAGTTTTCTTCTATTCACTGATGCTACAAAGTCGAAGATAAGGGTTATCAAACATTACATATTTTGACCAGTATGCCTTGTACTTTGAAATAGCCAAATCTAACCATGGCTTGTAGTTTCCATTGTAATGGATAACAGCTGCATTCTCTATTGCCGTTTGATTGAGGGCTGGGTCGTAACCAAGTCCCAACGCATGCCAGCCCCGATCCAGCGGATGGGTCAGGTTATAAAAGGTTATCAGTCCTGGTGGCAATGTACCAAGCTTCCAAAGAGTTCTATCCTCATTCTGCAAAACAGTTATTCCATCATCATTCGCCATAAAATTTGAACACACCTAGCTTACATAATAAAACAGGCATAAAGTTTTTAAATAAAATTAAAAAAAATTAAGCAACCAACAAGAATATGTAATATGAGTTGATAATAAAAAAATGGGGATCAATGGAAGAAATGAATGTAATGAAACTTTACCATGTCTTGCCAACGATGATATATTCCAGTGATGTTTCGCTTCCTCCACTCCTTCAAGTCAAAGATATTCATGCCGAATGCCCAGCCACAAGCATTTGGATCGAAATTTGCATAGATGATTGGATTTGAGAAGTTGAGATATTTATCATACCGATGGAAACTCTCTTTACAGGTCTCCACTGCACCATTTACCATCCCTTGAAGATCAATAGACCAAAGAGGTGTCAAATCCTTCTGAACTACAATATCATCATCCAAAAATAGGATCTTGTCCAACTTTGGGTAAACATCAGGAAGGTAGAATCTGAGATGATTCAGCAGGGACAAGTATTTTGGATTCCGATATTTGAGATGATCAGAACCCAGAGAGAGGGATGAAGGATGATTTGCCTTGAAATAATATTCTTGAAGTCTGGCAGATTCAAGTTGACGGAGAACAGAACACGAAGAAGAATTCAGCCACTTGAAATCATCAATGTTTTCAACCTTGATTGTTGCTCCTACAGGAGGGTTGACAAGAAACCACATTCTCATAGCAGCATAATTTAGTTTATCAGTGACTACATGGAAAACATGCTTGTTGGGCTCCTTCGCATGCAGCACAGTAGAATTAACAACCACTGATGTCGCTAGAACATTATCGGAAAAGATAGCATAGTGATAGAGAGAAGGATCCTGAAGCTTTTCTTTGTTTACATCCTCTCTACTATGATAACCCAGCAAGAAATAGTCGGATGCAAGTTGTAGAGGAAGGCAATGTAACGGTTTAGGAACTGTTTTTGCGGCAAGCTGAGTCAAGAATGCACTCTTTTTCTTCAGATCACTTACATTCTCTTCAGTTGACTGAAGCATGGCTCTTAGCTTCCTTTCCACAGTGAGGCAGTCATATAATTTGTCCTTTGCTATAGAGAGAACACGACCCATTGCTTTTGCTCGGTTAAGTGCACTGGTAAAAGGAAAAATAAAATAAAAAATAAAAAAACTAAGCATGAAAAATCAAGACCAAACCTGGTAATCTTGCAACCAGATAAAGAATAGCAAAAACCTCGAATGAAGCTCAACATCAGAACTCGCTTCTCCGATAGCATGCTGACTAAGTTTAGAGTGTTTCATGAGAGAATTATAAAGATCGCTTTCATTCTTAGACTTGGCAATGTTTGTGTAAGCTTTGGCCATTATAATCTGATCCAGCATAAGTTTCAAGGTTGAATCAGAATTTGGGCTTTCATAATCACTTCTCCATATGCTGTACTTTCCCTTGACAATGGGGTCAAAGCCTTTTGATCGTTCAATTGCTGCTGCTGCCATCTGGTTATTAGCTTCTTTATCTTTTCCTATCAACTCTGCAGTCCGAAGATTCCTCCTTTCTTGCCGCATTTCCTAACGAGCCAGGAAAACTATCAAAACCCCAACCCAACAGAACAAAACGATTATAGTGAAGTAAAATAAGAAGCATTTGACAATTCACCCGCCGCTTGAGCTTCACTGGGCTCATTGATGATAGACGAGAATATGGAAGTTCACCTACTCCAGCTTGATGATCATCTGGAGGATGCTCAGTCTGCTCTTCAAAGGTCATTCCAGATTGAAATGGATCCTCAACCATCTGGAAATTAGCACTAACTAGTAAATTTCCTGTCAATGTTTCTATCTACAAAATACAACTCCAATCCAGTTGAGCTAAAACAAATAGAAATATTAAAGGTTTTGAAAGATCTATCTACATGGCATTCATTGCCTCCAATATGAAAAGGAACTGAATATCCAATACCTGAAAACTCTTTGGATGGTCATGCCTTCCATTAATAGGATTTTCCAAGACCCAGGAAGCAGACAGATCCCCCATTTTAACCCTACTACTCCGCACAGCTCCAAGATTGTTGCTGTATGTCGCAATTATGTCAATATTCTGTGTGGAATATGATAAACATAAGCACCAATGTTATCTACTCTGAACAAAAAGAAAAGTACCCGTTACCAATTACCTTTTCATCTGGAAGAGTGCTGGCTCCAATGACAGAAGATACACCTTCTTCCTGTTCAGTCAGCATTTGACCATATAGTAAAGATTTTGCAACATGATATGTTGTTTACATAACAGCCATTTCAATTAAAGATAAAGATGAGCACATGAAGGAGGGGTTTGTGGGTGTCTGTCAAAGATACATATCCCTTCAACAATTAATCAACTCTGTTACCACCTATCATATGAATTCTATCAATCATGTATAGCTCCACAGGTATCATGTTCTCTTCCCCTGTTCATCACTCTCTCCCTCTCTTCCCATCCCCTACTCTCCCTCCCTCTATCCTCTCTCATATAGCGATCAGTGAGGGAACTTAAATGATTGAAGATCAAAATACAACTCTATTGGAACTATTCCCTTCGGCATAATGCATTTTCTTAGATCATCAAGAAGAATGGCAAAGGATATAATATACTAAATATTTAGTCATCTATATTACTAAGTCTGAACTTACTCATGCAGAAACTATACTTACTAACTTAGGTTCTGTTTTGTAATTCGTTGCAAAGGTATTCTGGACTTCAACACTTTCGAAGTACCCTTTTCAACCATTCTTGAATAAAGATAATAAATCAACTGCTACAAGCATGCCAATGAAAAGGAAACGTACACAACCCCATGTAAAGATATCAAAGGGATACCAAATCACAAACAACTAAAGAAGTGTGTTCCTTACAGGTTGCATAACTGTAGTAGTATCACCACAAGTGCATAGTTACTAAAATTAACATCAAATTTCAAAAGATGGGATGGGAACCTTGCTGTCTTGGCATTGCTCGCAATCACACAACGGTTGATATTTACTGATATATCTTCGACTGAAATAAATGCATATGAAAGGAAATCACCAACAGCAATCCAAACGATAAGAGAGTAACGAATTGGATAAAATCAAAAGAAGCAAATCCGAAAATCAAGAACAAAAAGGATCGTACCTTGCTGAAGCATCGGATATATCTGCTCCAACTAGAACACAGTGTAAAGCAACCTGAATGAATTGATACATCAAACGCATAATTTAATACCGAATCTGAAATTAATTGATACAGAGCCAGATCAATACAGCATTAACTACTAAAGTAAGATTAGCATTAATCAATCTACAGAAAACCCTAGAAAACCACAACGACAGCCCCAAAGAGCACGCAATGCATAGACAGGGTCAAAGCAATAGAAGCGCGATCCAATTCCAAGCAGAATCGTCGCGAACGGACCGTTGAGAGGGAATGAAAAAGGAAGAGAAAGTAAATTGTTTACCAATGAGAAACAGAGGACAAGCAGACGAACTTCCATTGCCGATGTACAGAAGAGGAGAGAGAGAGAGAGAGAGAGAGAGAGAGAGAGAGAGAACCGCTTCTATTCTGAATTTCCGAATTTCCGATTCATTACGACGACATGGTCGTTCCCCTTTTTTTTTTTTTTTTTTTAACTTTTTCCTTTTTACAAAAACGACATGTCATAAAGAGGTCTGTGTTAAACAGTCGAACGACATGGCCATATTGGAGTCTTCCTCAAAGTCAGAACTTCTTCATGGCACGTTATGTTTGGGAGGGAGTGTTTCTAGACTTGCTAAAAGCGTTTTTTAACAATCAAAAGTATTTTTGACCGCCTTGACAGACCTACTTAGGCCCCGTTTGTGATTGTTTTTTTTCCCCAAAAACCTGCTTAACTTTAAAGTTAAGCAATTTAAGGTGTTTGGTAAAAATTAAATATCCTGCTTATTTTAAAAGCAATGGTCTTTTGACAGCAGCTTTTAAAAGCAACCTCAGAGTTGCTTTTTAAAGTTGCTTTTAATTGAAGCAGCGCGCTCCCTTTAATGAAATTTTTGCAATTCCACAAATACCCTTATTAGGTTAGAAATCTATCCTCACGTATTTCTCTCAAATCTGCAGACACCAAAGTTCATCTTCATGTAGCCTCCCAAGTTTGGAGACAACCATTCTCTCAATCTCTTTCACAAGGTAGATTCTTCAATCTCTTCAATCTCTCAAACTTTTTATATACTGCTCTTGCTTTTTTATTTTTTTTATTTTTCTACGTGCTTTATTTTTCTACTGGTTTGTGAGGCCTCCATTGGT